AACTTACTCATGCAAAGATCAATTGTGTACTCAAAGATTCAAGTTGTGACACACCATTACCAAAGATTCTCATGCTCGCAATACTTGCTACTTGTGCAAGTTCAAGCTTAACAAAAAGTATCTAAATGCCCTTACATAAAGAATGATTCCATATTCAGACATAGAGGTTAATCAATTCAAGATTAAGAATCAGATGCAACGCTCACACTCATAAAGAGAAACACAATGCATGTTTTCACCCATAGGTTTGCCCTTATTTTCCTATCGACTTTCGATTTGGCTTACTCAAGATCAAAAAGGTCTTTCCTAAGGCTTGTAATGGGGCTGAGTGCAAAGGTATAGTCATTTAGGCTCAGTGACTTCTTCATCCTCGTGAGATGTGGTGTTCTCAAAATGTCTTTTTTCTTTCCCTTATCTCTTTTTCTTCTAGTGCTTCTAAGTCATCCTTTTATTCACTCTCTACGTGTTGTTTGGAAACCCAATTCCTTTTGCACTTTTTATTCCATAACTTTTTTTTTTGAAGGGTTTCCATTTTGTCTTGCAATACCATGGTTAAGGGGGATACTTTTCTTGCACTTCTTGACTTCTCCTTTTCCTTTTCACCACACCCCCGCCTAAGTTGGCTATTCACTAAACCACAAATCAAGAGGATTATAGGTAGTGGGTCAAGTAAGGTCTAGGGTTCATCCAGGTTCTTCCAAAGAAAGGTAAGGCTCAAAGGGTGTTCAAAAGAGTTTCACACGCTCACAGGTAGGCCACAAAAGAGGTATATGTCAAATTTGGCTCACACTCTTTAAAGTTGCCTAATATCATTTCAAGAGCACACCTTTTATAAAATCCAAATCAGACTAACGGGGGAAAAATTATGGGTTTATTCATGCATGGTTCAAAGTAAGCTAATCACACAAGGCATCAACACTTAAGTCAAACAAGACTACACACTTTCGCTAGTGTGCAATGGTCATTACAAGAGAATCAATTCGATAAATGACTAATCACAACGAGATGCAAAGAGCTCACGTATTGTCTATGCCACTTCATTTGGTCTCGTCGTAGCCGTGCATTCATGTTCGTTCAATTGATAGCACTACTCAAGTCATCAGTATTGATCGGAATTGAGACTTAAATTTTACAAAAGAACAACCACTTTCAACACACGAGAGGTGCCAAAAATTATCGGAAGGGTCAAAATCATTTTTTTTTGTAATTTAAAACAAAAGGGGGCCATGAGCTCAAACATCCACAAAAAGCATTATTTAATATAATTAAAAACAGAACAACCCAAACATATACAAAGCATGAACACAAACAACACACAAAAGGTGAGCCTCACCCCACCACAAATAAAAGCAATTTGTCCTGAAATGCAATTAACACAGAATCCGGAAGAGAAGAGAAGAACCTTGGAAGATATTCCAGAGGTACTTACTTGGCAAAATAAAGAAAGACAGAGAGGGAGGTAAAGAAGAATCCTATTTACGCAGTATTTCTATCTTTCTGGGAATCAATGCTAACAAAATAATTATGGGTATTAAGGAACTAACCTTTTGTATTGATTAAAATACTACCGAGAAGCTAGGCAGCAATTGCAATCCAAATCTGCGCACAAACCAATGAATCAAAATACTCTGGAAATGCAAGAAATATAAAACTATAGTGCAGGTGTGGGTTTTGAACAGATAAAAAGTGAGGGAAGGTGAATGAAGTTGAAACTTTTAAACCTTTGGCTTGCAAAAATCGTCTACTCGGCAATGTTAGTTAAACTCGCCAACTTACTCGGTGAAACGCCGACTGTTTGGTTTCGCCGTCGAAGTTTATAGAACCTCTGGTTTACGGGGGTCCAAACGACGGTTTCCATCGAGATCGCCGACATGGTCGGTGATTCGCCAATGATTTCCAACAATCGCCGAGTTTTACAGACTCTAATGTTGACGATGTCTAACGTAGGATTCACCGACCCTTTCGATGACTCGCCGAATGGATTCATCACTTGCCTATCTGCACTTTTTGTTCACTCTTCATACTTCTATCTGCACAATCAACACACCATTATTTTATCAAAGAAAAAGAAAGTAATCCATGGTTTTGGGTTGCCTCCCAAACAACACCTTAGTTAACGTCATGGCACGACGCAGTAGCGCCTTCATGCGTCGTCCAAATACACTACTTTAACCAAAGAAATCTCTTGACAATCCCCAAAATATAATTTTAGACGTTGACCGTTCACTTTAAATGGAAGTCCTTCCTGACCTTCAATTTCTATGGCACCATTGGTGAACACTCGTGTTACTCTAAAAGGTCCAGACCATTTGGATTTGAACTTTTCGAGAAAGAGTCTAAGTCGAGAGTTGTATAACAAAACTCAATCTCCTACCTTGAAGTCCCGCTTGAGTATTTGAGCATCATGCCATTTCTTCATCTTCTCTTTGTAAATGGCTGAACTTTCATACGATCTGAGTCTAAATTCATCCAGTTCGTTCAACTGTTCTACCCTCTCCCTTGAAGTTTTTGACCAGTCCAAATTTAAGCCCTTCAATGCCCACAATGCCTTGTGTTCTAGCTTGACAGGCAAAAGACAAGCCTTACCATAAACCAACTGATATGGAGACATACCGATAGGTGTCTTATAAGAAGTTCGGTATGCCCATAGTGCATCATCGAGTTTCCTAGACTAGTTAGTTCTGTTGGCATTAACTGTCTTGGCCTGGATGCTTTTGATTTCCCGATTTGATACTTCAACTTGGCCACTTGTTTGGGGATGATATGGGGTTGCTACCTTGTGTTTCACCCCATATTTACTTAGTGCCATTGAAAACCACTTATTGCAAAAGTCAGACCCTCCATCGCTAATGATCGCCCTAGGAGTGCCAAATCTTGCGAAAATGTAGCATTTTAGAAATTGGACAACACTTTTTCCTTCGTTGTTTGGAAGGGCGGTGGCCTTTACCCATTTGGAGACATAATCTACGGCCACCAGGATATATTTATTTCCAAATGAGCTCACAAATGGCCCCATAAAATCGATCCCCCATACATCGAATAGCTCGATTTCCAAAATAAGAGTGAGAGGCAACTCGTGCCTTCTAGACACTCCGCCTTGTTACTGACATTGCGAGCATGTCTTTGCAAATTCATGAGCATCTTTGTATAGGGACGGCCAGTAATAACCACTTTGGAGGACTTTAGCGGCAGTGCGAATACCACTGTGGTGACCTCCTACTGGAGATGCATGGCAAGCATGGAGAATTTTTACCACTTCCTCTTCTGGAGAACACCTCTTGATAACATGGTCAACACATTCTCGAAACAAGTAAGGTTTATCCTAAAAGTATCTTTTAACATCAAACAAGAATCTCTTTTGTTGGTAAAAGGTCAGCTCATGAGGTATCAATCCACTCACAATGTAGTTTGCAAAGTCTGCATACCATGGTGTAGATTTGAGAGATATAGCAAATACCTGTTCATCGGGAAAGGAATCATCTATGTCAACCTCACGCTCGGCATCTTTCCTTCCTTCCAACCTCGATAAGTGGTCGGCCACTTGATTTTTGCAGCCTCTTCGATCTTTTACCTCAAAATCAAACTCTTGTAGTAGTAGCACCCACCTTATAAATCTTGGTTTTGCATGTTTCTTCGCCATTAAGTAGCGGAGTGCAACATGATCAATGTGTACTATTACTTTGGTTCCTAGCAAGTATGCCCGGAACTTTTCAAACGCATAGACCACTGCGAGCAACTCCTATTCAGTGACCATATAATTTCGTTGGGCACTATTCAAAGTTTTGCTCGCGGAGTAAATTGGTGAAATAATTTGTTGCGCTTTTTCCCCAACACTACTCCCAATGCCATTCCACTAGCATGACACATTACTTCAAAATATTCAGACAAATTAGGACTGATGATAATTAGGGTAGATACTATTTTTTCCTTCAAACACTTAAATGCGACCATACAAGCATCATCAAAATGGAACTTCACTTCCTTTTCAAAAAATCGATCCCCCATACATCGAATAGCTCGATTTCCAAAATAAGAGTGAGAGGCAACTCGTGCCTTCTAGACACTCCGCCTTGTTACTGACATTGCGAGCATGTCTTTGCAAATTCATGAGCATCTTTGTATAGGGACGGCCAGTAATAACCACTTTGGAGGACTTTAGCGGCAGTGCGAATACCACTGTGGTGACCTCCTACTGGAGATGCATGGCAAGCATGGAGAATTTTTACCACTTCCTCTTCTGGAGAACACCTCTTGATAACATGGTCAACACATTCTCGAAACAAGTAAGGTTTATCCTAAAAGTATCTTTTAACATCAAACAAGAATCTCTTTTGTTGGTAAAAGGTCAGCTCATGAGGTATCAATCCACTCACAATGTAGTTTGCAAAGTCTGCATACCATGGTGTAGATTTGAGAGATATAGCAAATACCTGTTCATCGGGAAAGGAATCATCTATGTCAACCTCACGCTCGGCATCTTTCCTTCCTTCCAACCTCGATAAGTGGTCGGCCACTTGATTTTTGCAGCCTCTTCGATCTTTTACCTCAAAATCAAACTCTTGTAGTAGTAGCACCCACCTTATAAATCTTGGTTTTGCATGTTTCTTCGCCATTAAGTAGCGGAGTGCAACATGATCAATGTGTACTATTACTTTGGTTCCTAGCAAGTATGCCCGGAACTTTTCAAACGCATAGACCACTGCGAGCAACTCCTATTCAGTGACCATATAATTTCGTTGGGCACTATTCAAAGTTTTGCTCGCGGAGTAAATTGGTGAAATAATTTGTTGCGCTTTTTCCCCAACACTACTCCCAATGCCATTCCACTAGCATGACACATTACTTCAAAATATTCAGACAAATTAGGACTGATGATAATTAGGGTAGATACTATTTTTTCCTTCAAACACTTAAATGCGACCATACAAGCATCATCAAAATGGAACTTCACTTCCTTTTCGAGGAGTTTGCATAGTGGATGTGCAATCTTTGAGAAGTCTTTAATGAACCTTCGATAGAAACCTGCATGACCCAAGAAGCCTGCGAACACCCTTCACTAAAATTGGTAGAGGTAATTTCTCAATGACCTCAAATTTTGCCTTGTCAACCTCCAGCCCTTTTTGTGACACCTTGTTCCCGAGAACGATACCTTCCTTCACCATAAAGTGACATTTTTCCCAATTGAGAACTAGATTCGTATCCACGCATCTTTGTAGCACCTGTCCTAAGTGTGTCAAGCATTCCACAAACTTGTCCCCTACGACTGAGAAGTCGTCCATGAATACCTCCACAGAGTCTTCGACCATATCCACAAAAATAGACAACATGCAACGCTGGAATGTTGCCGGGGAATTACATATCCCGAATGGCATCCTTTTGAATGCAAAAGTTCCATAAGGGCAGGTAAAAGTGGTTTTATCTTGGTCTTCCGGTGCAATAGAGATTTGATTGTAACTGGAATACCTATCTAAAAAGAAATACCACCCCCTTTCTGATAACCGGTCAAGTATCTGGTCCATAAAGGGAATTGGGAAGTGGTCCTTTTCGGTCCATGGTATAAGCTTCCGATAATCCATGCATACTCTCCACCCAGTCACTGGTCTTGTCGGCACAAGTTCTCCTTTCGTATTTGAGACTACGATTATACCTCCTTTTTTTGGTACACATTGCACCGGACTTACCCACTTGCTATTCGCAATAGGGTAGATCACTCCCGCATCTAGCCACTTGATGATCTCCTTCTTCACCACCTCTTGCATTGGAGGGTTCAATCTCCGTTGATGCTCTACACTGGGTTTACATTCACTATCAAGCCGAATCTTGTGGGTACAGATGCTAGGAGGAATTCCTACTATATCGGCTATTGTCCATCCAATAGGTTTGATATGCTTCTGCAATACTTTAATGGGCAATTCCACCTGCCTTTCAAGTGCTTCTGCAATACTTTAATGGGCAATTCCACCTGCCTTACAAGTAAATCGGCTACGATAATCACTGGTAAAGTATTATTGGCTACTAAGAAAGCATATTTTAGATGAGCGGGTAGGGCTTTCAACTCCAGGTTCGGTGGTTCTTTTGTTGATGGCTTCGCAGGAGGACTTTCTCTATTTTTCAGGTCGATATCCAACTTGATTGGATTCCTTGAATACTCTCCTAATCCTGATAAGGCAGCCACCACTTCCTCATATCCTTGAACTTCAGATTCCTTATAATTGGCAAGTACAGATTCAAGGGGTTCATTCTTGCACATTAAATGGCTCACACTTGCCACTGTTTCATTTATAACATCCTCAGTGGACACCACATGGATGATACTTGGTTGCTTCATGGATTTGCAGATATTGAAGGTCACCTCATCATCGTTTACACGAAACTTCAATTTCCCGCCTTCGACATCTACCAATGCTCTTCCTGTAGCTAAGAATGGCCTTCCTAAAATAATGGGGATTTCAACATCGATCTCACAATCCAGAATCACAAAATCAGCTGGAAAGATGAACCTATCTACTTTTACCAATATGTCATGAAGTATTCCTACGGGGTGTTTGATTGATTGATAAGCCATAAGGAGTCTCATTGTGGTTGTCTTTGGTTCACCCAAACCAAGTTACTTGTATATTGCATAGGGCATCAAGTTAATGCTTGCTCCTAAATTGCACAAAGCTTTAGCAAATTGGAGCATGCCAATTGTGCACAGGATTGTGAATGCCCCAGGATCTTCTCTCTTGGTGATTGACTCATTTGTCATAATTACGCTGCAACTATGGGGTACCTCGATCGTTTCATACTCCAAGCTCCTTTTCTTTGTAAACACCTCTTTCATGAATTTGGCGTAACCCGACATTTTTAACAATGCTTCCACCAGAGGAAGGTTAATTGATAGATTCTTGAATATTGACAAAAATTTTTTGAACTTCTCATCTTCATTTTTCTTTTTTCAAACGTTGAGGAAATGGTGGAGGTATTCTGGGTAAAGGGTGCGTGACTTTTGGAATCTGAACATCTTTCTCTGCATCCTCTTGTGGTTCTTGGCAAGGTTTTGTGGAATATGCAATTCTCATTCCTCTGTACCCTGGCTCTCTTCCTGCATTCGAGGATCCTCATCCTCCATCACATTCCCTTTTTCCATTTTTCCACTACGGGTGACCACAGCCACCCCTCTTTCATTATCTTCTAGTGTCCTGATGGCATCAGCATGCGAATTCACTTTACTGTTCAGTGATGAAAAGTCATCTCTCATTCCTTTTAGCAGATTATCAGATCCCTCAACTTTATCAAGTATGTGTGACAATAGATCATTTACCCGAGGACTACTTGCGCTCCCTTTTGATTTTGGGCTTTCACTCAATTGGGTACGGTCTTCCTCATGGTCATCTTGCTCAGCCCAATCGTTGTAATATCTCCTTGGTTCTTCACTCCTATAATGGTTCCAACCTTGATTTCTTCCCTGCTGTTGATAGCGTGGGTGGAAACCCTCATCATATCTTGTGGAGTTCCAACCTTGATTCGCCCTCGATCTCAAGTAACCGGATGAAGAACCCCCCTTAATTCTTTTAGAGTTCTAACCTTGATTTTCCCCCGATCTTACGTAATCTGAAGGAGAACCCTCCTCAACTCGAAATACTCCATATGTCCCCTTCATGTGCTCGTGTATCACTTCCATTTGAGACAACATCTTCTTGATGTTTTCTTCCCTTTCCCTTTCTTTATCGAGTTGTTCTTGTGTTAATCTGAAGCACAGTGGGGAAACTTGGTCATCTTTTGTGTACCATCCTTGATTTACTCTAGTCATGCCATCTAGGAGAAATGAGGCTACTTCAAATGATTTTAACATTATTCCTCCTTGCACCAGCTGATCAACTATCCCTTTATTCACTGAATCCAGACTATGGTAAAAATATTGGAGCAATAACTCACTCGGCAGTCCATGTGTTGGACATTTTCGCAAAATTCTCTTAAATCGTGTCCAAGACTCGTTAATTGGTTTGCCCTCCTTTTGATTAAAATTTTGAATGTCATCCCTCTGTTTCATCATTTTTGATGGAGGGAAGAATCTTTCATGGAAAGCCATAACCAACTCTTTCCATAACTTGATGGAGTTCTTTGGAAGCTCGATCAACCTCTTAGTGGCTTCCCTAGTTAATGATAATGGAACTAAGCGCAGCCGTATGGATTCTTGCGATAGATTCTTGAATGACAGAGGGGTGCACACTTCTATGAAGCTTCGTATATGTTCATACGAATCTTCATGCTCTAACCCTCCAAATAAACCTCTTTCTAACCCTCCATATAAACCTCTTGAATGTATGAGATGGAGTGTTGTGCTAGTAACTTCAAATGTTGCATTTCCATCTGCTTGTGGCATGCAACTTGCATCCATCTCACTCACTTGGCCAGGGTTGTACACACTATTAATATCGTCAATATCGTCTCGATGAAAAGCATCACCCGCTGGGTTGCCTGCTTGGCAACTATTTTCGCCGTTCACACTCATATGGCTGTTGAAACACAAAATTACTCAAAACAAAACTGGAAATTAGGTAAGCAGACTACAACTAAGAAAAACAAAGATTTTACTAATCTAAGAACTCTCAAATAACACCACTCCCCAGCAGTGGCGCCATTTTGATGTTTGCGTAATCAACGACACAAGTTCCGATGCAAGTGTCTACGATTGTGCAGTACTATAATAACTCAACCAAGGGTTGGGATCGTGTCCCAAGGGAGTGGTTTCGAGAATTAATAGAAAAATAAAATTAGTTCTAACTAGTCGTAGCTAAAGTAATTAACGACTAAAAACATTGTAAATCAAAGGGGGGGGGGTGGGTGACACAAACGTGTCAAATATCAAATTGGGGTTTGTCACAAGTAGCTAAAGCAACAAAAATCAAGAGAAAATTCAAGGATAGGGAAAGTGCTGCTAGTGTGTGGTCTGGGGCTGGGGCATCGTCATTAGGGGTTTGACCTTCGGAGGCCATCCACGGGGCGTGGATGGACCGACGGGGAGTAGTCCCTTTCCGTAGGTCACCAAGTTTTGGCCAATTTGGGTTTTCTTTGGGGTCTTGGGGGTTAAGCTTCGGATCCTCCTCAAGGACCCCTAGGGTGGTCCATGGGGAGTCGTACCTTGACGTTTAACCCCTAAACCTCTCAACCAAGGCTCGGGACAACATAAAGCACCATCAAACCTCACACCAAACTTTAACACACACACGTGAGGCTCTAGTTTCACTTATTCATTTTTAGGGTCTTTACAGTTTGACGTCATTTTTAAGGGAAAAAGTCGTCAAATGGTCAATTTTTGCAATATTGGGAGAAGTCTTAGTACCCCGAGGGCATGGGTAGTTTGGGTCTAACCTTAATTGCATAGTGTTTGTGCTTAATTTGTTGCGCTTTTTCCCT